AGTAAAATATAATTAAAAATAAAATTATAATTATAATTAAATTCTACAAATGCTAAATTATCAATAAAATATAATTAAAAATAAAAAATTTAATTTAATTTTATATCAAGTCAGACTCCATTCAATATATTTAACTTTGAATAAGATCATATCTTGTCGGAATAGTAGAAACATGTACAATTATTCACATGAAAAACCCTCGCATAAAAAAGATAACTACTACAATGATAGGGCGCCGCCTGGTGGTGACCTTCCACTAACACCCACCAGCCACCTCCACTTTGGTTTTTAGTGGCAACAACTCTATAATCTCTTATACAGCTCCTACCAAATGTATGTGACCCCTTGTATCCCATTCCATATGGATTCATAACTAGCCTGAACATTGTTGCAAAACAGTGTTTCTTGGAGTATTTTGATGATACCAACAACTCGGTATTAAAATGTTTTTTTTATACTAAGATAATTATATAAAAAGTAAATTATTAACTCTAAATTCTTATATGAACTAATTAAAAAAAAATTAATTAAAATATAATCCAAAATGATAATCCCGCCATCTTATAGCTAGCTTTATAGTTAATAAACTCACCTGATAATGAAAGAATCAAAGAAATAAATGGATTTGACATGGTGATTGACCAGGGAGAGGAAGGTGCAAGTTTGATAGATATAAGCGGTGATAGAGGATACCGGCAAGCGGGAGGAGGGGCGGGGCTTGGGTGTTTCCCGGGGGCAGACATGGAAACCCCATTAACAAGATGCCAATAATGAAAAAGGATATTCTTTTCAACGAATAAGGCTTGGCTTGGTAATTACGTAGATGGTGGTGCATGGTAAATCTCCAAAGCTAATTTTTATTTCATTTTATAATAACTAAAATAAATATTTTTAAGAATCCGAAGGGTTTAAATTTAGGAAAATATATTTTTTAAGTTAAAATTTTTATTTCTTTATTAAAAATGTTTGTTATTAACAATTTTTTAAAAATAAATATTTAAAATAATCTCAACAATTTAATTCAAGGAATGATGAAAAACCTTATTTCTTCAAGCAAAACTCTCATGTGTTTATTTATTAGTAGTGTGTATGTTTTTTATTAAATAAAACTTAATTATCATAATCTAAGATGAAATTTTTAAAAATAAATGGAAAAATCATGTCTTCATAATTTTTTTTGGTTGTATGAAAAAACAAAAGAATAAGTAATTTGTGTAAACTATATAAAAATTAATCATATAAAATAGATATTATATTCTCATTGAATATTCATTTGCAATTTTTCTTTTTTTATAACTTGTCCCCTATAATTATCAACAAAGCTATTGCATATAACCATAAAAGCTCATTGTATTACCAGACAAATACTAATTAAGGTATCAATGCAGGGATTGGTTTTTATTTTCTTGGAATATTTTGGATTAATTTTGTGAATTAAAATTAAATCTTTTTTATGGGAAATTAATTTGGTAGAACATCAAAACTTCAAGAAAAAAGATTAATTAGTTTCTTTTATTGTTTTTTTTTTTACACTTAAATACCTGACATGTGAACCAACAATTATTTGCTAATTTTACCCTCCATCTACAAATGTAATTTGAGATATGAAGTGAGTAGGAGCTTGGTTCATTAGGCAACTCTGTCAAGTGCTTGTATTTATTTATTTATTTATTTAATTCTCTCTATAAGATATTTGCATGCTATCCAATTAGTACTGAAGGTGTTTGGCTGAGTTCTGTTCTTTCCAATTTGAAAATGAAAGGGGTAAGGTTTTGTGTTTAGTATTGTGGTGTTTTTATTTTTTAGAAAACTGTTTTTTAAAACTAAATTTTTATTGTTTTTAAATGATTTTAATATGCTAATATATATTAAAAAAGAATTTTAAAAAATATATTATTTTAATATATTTTTAAATAAAAATTAATTTATAAAATATTATCACGATACCACACACTAATTAATTCATTCTGGTTGTTTTTAACAAAATCTGTACTGTGAAGGTTGAATTAGGCACAGCTCATGTTTTGTTTTGTTTTGTTTTCTACAGAAATTGGAGAAAAGAGAAATGTTATAAAGACAGTCTTTTTCCAACTTCTATGGCGTCGAAGACCAAAACGATGTTTTCTGTCTTCTCTCTTTCACGTCAATAATCCCACCCTAAACTGTAATGGTCAATGATATTGCATTTCTTTTCCTTTTTTTTTTTTTTACATTTTTAACTATCAAGTTTTCCAATCAAATATCAGAAGAAGAATAGTATTTTAAAAAAAAAATGTTAAAAGAAAATTTCAAGTCAATTTTTATAAATGATATTGAAAATCAGCTACATTTTAAATTTATTTTAGATTCTTAATAAAATAATAAAATAAATTCACTTATTAAATTGTTCTCGTTAGAAATTTGTTGAAACATGGTCAAGGGATATATTTAAAATTAAATTAAAAGGCGACTAAATTATAACTTTTTTAAAATTTAATCTCTAATATAATTTTCTTAACATGAAATATAAGCATGATTTAAATAAATTTTGGATGAATAAAAAATTTATTTCAAATAACTCTTAATTGATATTTTTTATGAAACTCAAAATCTTATTGAAAAACTTTATCCCATGTAGGAAAAAAAAGAAAAAAACTTTGTTAATATTTATATAGTAAAAAGTTGAAAAGTTAAAATTTAACCTGGAAAACACCAAATTTTTAGAGTTGAGAGATCTTAAGCAAAGTGAATTTTAAACTGAAACACCTCCACATACATATATATATATATATATATATATAACCAACTTGGTTTGAGTTAGATTTGTTATAAAATAATTTTTTAGACTACAAAATATTATTATTTACCAACTAAAATTTAGACTTGGTGTTTGGTCCATGATAAATTATTTCTTTCAACATATAAAAAGGATGAATTTATTTAGTTTTTGTAGAATTCTTTTATTAGTATACAAAACATTTTTTTGCTCAAAATTCACCTAAATTAAATTTAAAAATATTTAGATTTTACAACAGGTAATCAAAGTTGTTAATAAACTAAGTTAGGTTTATTGCATGATATTTTTTGAAACTATAAAAGATTATTTTTTATCAATTGTAATTTTAGCTTGAATTTATTCCATCAAGAATTATATCTTTCAACGAAAGATGAGTATGATGAGTTTTTTCAAATATAATTCTAGTTTTTTCAAAACTCTTTTAACAGTTTCTAAACAATTTTTTCAACTAAAAAATCAAATGATTTAAGTTCAAAAAATACTCAAATATAATTCTAGTTTTATAGTGGATTATCAGAACTATTAGTGGAGAAATTCCATTAGCTTTTGATTTCTAAGATTCTCTATATAAAAAGACTGAATAAGATTATTTGGGTTGGTTAATTCTACACTATTTTGACAGAATTCAATACTTTTCTTCACCTAATTTTCCAACATTACTTTTTTGGTTGTTAAGCTTAATTCCTCTGTAAATTCCTTTCTTATCCAAACCTTAGGTTCAATCCTTATATAGGGCTAATTAAGTTTTATTTTCTGGGTTTGATAGATCTTGTTTAGAAACAATAAGACATCAAGGATAAAAATTACTTTTCTGGTTGGTATTGTTGGAATCCTAAACCAAAAGAATTAGAAGACTTAGTGTTGTTGGAATTTTAAAAGGTTTATTAAAGAAAGTTCTTTTTTTTTAAAAAAAGTAATAAAATCTTAAAAATAAAGTATTAATCCTTCACAACAAAAAAATAAATAACCTTTTTTGTTTTGTTTAGCTCTATATATTATTATACATGCTAGGATTATGATTCAATTATTTATCAAAGTTTATTTACTTGTTTAGTAAATACAATAGTCTTTTTGTTATAATTGCAAGTTACCATATTTTTATTATATTGCACATTTATAATCAAAACATATATTTCTCCCATATTTCTCACTTGTCTAATTTTATTTGTGAAATTTGGACAAAATAACGAATGAGACAAAAGCAAGAACAATAAGAGTTCATTGCATAGTGATCAAATTTGGCTTAACCGAGTGATAGATATAATGATTCACCAACTCGGGGCTTTACTCGAGTTGAGTTTATTTTCGAACCAAATTGTGAGATGAACATGATTAAACTTGGACAACATGACAAATCAACTCACCACTTTACTGGTTCTATAAAACTAAAATGAAACCTGGTTTGGTCAGCTTCAAGTATTTTTATTTTATTTTTTATTTAAAACAACATTGTTTTATATATTAAAAAAAATAAAATAATATTGTTTTGGATTACATCTGGATTCACCCATTAACCCACGAGTTAACCCAATCAATCGCACCTCGAGCGAACCAGTTCAAATCCCAAGACAGGATGCAATGGCTATATATTGCACTGTATCAATCAACCCAATAGTTTATATGAATTCGTATTTTTTGATCGGCTAGTGGGTGGTAAAAGGCAGTGTGATAAGGCAATCATTTATGCAGTGATGACTTATTAGTTGGTATTTAGCAGTCGAGCGCCGATCGTGAAAGCGGCCTTAATGCTAATCTGATTACATTTTACATTTTTAATCAACCAAACTAAATTAACGAATAGGAGCAAAAAATTAACCCAATATTTTTTGTTAAAGCTAATCCATCGTTTGAATTTGACTGGATGGTTAGGATTGAATCAAAGGGAGGAGAGATTTAAGCGTTTCTCTTAAACGAAGAAAGCCCGATGCCCACCTCCCTCCTCTCTGTCTGTCCTGTGTCACTTCGCTACCTCTTTTAAAAGTCTCAGGGAAGCTATCTCTCTCTGTGCCACAGAGCAATAAAAATGCAAAATCTCTCTGCAAGATTTGCACTTTCAAAATCTTGAAAGCAACACCTCATGTTTTCCTGAAATAAGAGATCCTGAAGCCCGTCAAGATTGATTCTTGAAGGGTTCTTTTTATCTTCTTCTTAATAGTAGCATCTTGATATCACTTCTGCCAGATACTTTTTATGAGCTGCAGGGGTTTATTTAGTTAGAGAAGGTTTCTACTTTTCAACTGCTTAGTGCCTTTTCTCTTCCAGATTGTTCAAGCTGTTTTGGAGAGTGCCCTTTCTTGACTCTTGTCTGCTATATATTTCAAGTAGCGATAAGTTTGGTCTTTAGTTTTCCTCATTTCGGTGACTATCAGAGTCTTCAAAATTCATTGAAGTTTATGGCATATTGCTGAAAGCTGAAATTGTTTCTTCATCTTTTCTTTTCAGTTCTTTCTGTTTAAGGAGTTTTCATCTTTCTGATAGCTAAACTTGTGCACCCAATGGCCAATCTGTTTGAGATTTCTTCTTTCAAAACAGGCAAATTTGGTACCACAATATGGGCTGTAAAGATGATGCTTCTCTGTGTAGGGATCATTTCCACTTTTATTTTGCTCAAGGTGGCTATAATTCCTTACACGTTTAATCTAATTCTCTCAACTCTTCCTAGCGTATGGATCTCCCTCCGTGGCTGGTTATCTCCTCCTTACATCTATATCATCCTCAACTTCATCATAATCGCCATTGTTGCTTCCTCCATATTTCAACACCCAAACCCCAACTCCAAAGTGTCCTATTCTAGTTCTAATAAGAAACACAAAAGTCAAAACAAAAGTAACACGAAGGATCTCTGGCAAGACCATGGCATGCAAGAAGTGGAAAAACTATTGGATACAACTTTGTCTTTTGAGGAACTCATCGACTCTTCTCAGGATTATTACTCTCCTGACACTTTCTTGACAAATTCTGGTGAACTGCTGCAAGAAAAGACGAATACAGACACGTCTAAGGAATCTTGCTTGACAGATTCTGCTAAGCAACAGCAAGAAAAGATGGACAAAGAGCCACTGACACCAGAGGCAGATCAGCAGGACACCCTGGAGGACACATGGACATTAATTATGGAGAAGCAAGGGAAAACACCAACAAGGCAGTTAAAGAAGAGTGGCACATGGGACACCCCTCCAACGGCGTTGCAGAAAGCCAACGGGATGATCACTGCTGCTGGTGATGGTGGTGGGGATGGCGGCGATGATGATGATCCGGTTGCTTGGGCTAGGAGAGAACTCAGGAAATCAGATACATTCAACGATTCTGTGTCTTTGAGGAGGGAGAAATCAATGAGTCAGGACGAGTTGAATCGACGAGCAGAAGAGTTTATCAGAAAGTTTAATTATGCAATGAGGCTCCAAAGGCAAGAATCTGAACAGCGGTTCCGGGCAATGGTTCGTGGTGGGGTTTAGTAGTTTGGTTTTTTATTAATTAGCGATTAATTACTATGCTAAATCCTGATGATGAAAAGATTCTGCTTCAACTTTCTCTTTTGGAGGTAATAGCCATCTAGTATATATGATTATTAATTAGTGTTGTGTATTAATAGCAGAGTACTTGGTTGTTAATTCCCTTGTAAATACTATATTTATTCTTCTCGGATCCATATCCGATACCCTTGTTTGGTTGGATAGGTTATTTTTCAAATTTTCTTTTATTGTTCATGTGTTTTTAGTTTCCAAATATCTATATCCTTGGTTGGATTATTGAAGTGGCTGCCGGGGGCGATTGATTGACATTAGTCATTTGATTTAATCTGTCTACAAAGCTAGTTAGTCACGTCGTGTTAGAAAGGGTGTTAGAAAATTTAATATTGACTGTTTTTTAAAGTATTTTGTATTTAAAAATATATTAAAATAATATTTTTTTATTTTTAAAAATTACTTTTAATATTAAAACAATGCTTATAAAATCTCATTAATCACGTAAACATCATGGTCTATGAGTGGAAATAGTTATTTCTTCCTTAAGATGCAGAATCTTTCAATTAGATAATAGGTTTTCTGATATGTATCTCTTGCAATTTGTCTTCTACAATGGTGTTCATAAGTGGTAGAATAGACAATGCATTCATTCAGTCAGTCGGGTGTTATTATTTGAGGTCACTTCCATCTACATGGGTCCAAAAGAAGCTTTTGCTTTATCATTTCTCATGACATCTATTCCACAAGCATGGGTTGTACCAGTGCCCTACTGTCACACACAAACTTTTCTAGAGTCTAAAGCCTAAAAAAGAACACTTACATTTTATTAACTTCATTTGTAAAGCATGTGAATTGCCAGCCACCATCTTATCTGATGTTTGTCGTGTATTAACAGTACCTTTTTTCTATTCTTACTGCAGATAATGGGCGAAGCTGGAAGTTACTTCAGTATACTTCTTTATGATTTTTCCTTTCTGGGTTGTGTTTGTCAGACAACAAAAACATGATTTTACTTGTTTTTATTATGGTTCACCGCACTTAGTTTTAACGTAGGTACTTCAATGCCTATTTTTCCTGTTTCGTTTCAACAAGCTAGGGTTGTCCCATGGATTGATATGTTACCCGTAAAAAGATTTTGGCTAGAAGTTAGAAATGCATGGAGACCATGTAGCATTTCTTCTTCGAGAAGGAAGCCAGAAATGCAGTATCCTGTGAAATATTAAGAGTTGTTTCTGGGTTTCATTGTTTGTGTATTTTTCAAGCATATAGGTAGGTTTTGTTTCTCTTTCTCGGGCAACTGATGATTTTTTTCTTCAATTTTAATGGTCATGTTCTTGGACGAGATTTCCTGCATTTGTTTGGACTTCTATCACCGCAGTTTAAAAATTACCTAGGGGATTGATTTCTGCTTGAAAAAGATGCTTATAATGGCCACTGGTTGAACTAATTATGATCCAAGCCCGAATGATATAACCCCATGAAGGCTGCCCTTGTTTTGTGGACATCATCATGCATTATGTCCAAGCAGCTTCTTCGAGAATCAACCATAATCATTGGAAAAGCACTTCAGGCCATGATCCCTGCCTCTGACTGTTGCTGAAATTGCTGGGAAAAGAGAAGTATTGGTCTAGCAGAAATATCAGTGCTATCATGATAGTTTATTCTAGGCGGCGTGAAGTTCATCCACACAAGGAGGGGGACATCATCATCGTCCTCGTCGGCCAGGGAGAAATTAAGATTTTTCGATTTAGGGTTAATTTACTGTGTGGGTGTATTAAAATCAAATATTATCTTGTGAATCAAAAGGATATTTGTTAAAAATACTTTTCTTCCGGAAATTATAGATTATTTTAACTTTCAAATAATAAAACCCGTTTAGTTTAGTTTAGTGATGATATTATCTTGAGCTCAATATAAATCAAACAAAACAAATCAATTTTATTTTATTATAAAAAAAATCAACATCATATAGCATTCAAAACATATTAATTATTTTAACTTTCAAAGAATAAAACTCATTTAGTGATTATATTATCTTGAGTTGAACATAAACTACACAAAACAAATTAAACAAATTAATTTTTTTTATTATTATAAGAAAATAACAACGATGTAACGGCTCATTTAATTATCACATTACCAGTGGATCAATGAATTGATGAAAACCAAAACATAAATCTCTCTCTATATACACACACCTCAAAAATATTTCTACCACTTAGAAATAAATATTAAGAATTTTTTATAAATTTCTTTTTAAAAAGACTTTTACAAAAAAAATAACCTCAAAAATATTTCTACCACTTAGAAACAAATATTAAGAGTTTTTTATAAATTTCTTTTTAAAAAGACGTTTACAAAAAAAAAAATCAAACACCTACAAACATAAATAATCCACACATAATAATAAATATTTACACATAAAAATCATTCCACGCATCATAATCCAACAATCTTATGCAATTTATCTCATCCCCCTAGCCTATCATTGGTATTAACACCATCTTATTACATCCCAGAAATAGATTCCATATGCATTCATATTCTCGGGTTATTATGCAAAGACGTGATCATAATTGCTCTGAATTTTCATATTCCACACAAAAATAAATATATTGTGTCATAAATTATGAAAAATAATATAAAAAATTATTTTTAATCCAAAATTAACCTTCTAGAACTGTAAAACAATGAAAGAAACGTGCTAGAATGAGGTAAAGCTATCTCAACATATATGTGTCATGCATGTGATTGTAAGAATGAGTTGTGGTCTTCAACATGTGGACCTCATATATAATACTAGAATCTACAAAAAAAAAATGAAGAAAAATAGTTGATTTTAAAGACTATATTATAGGTTTTCTTTGGCACTGGTATTTAAAAAATAAAAGAAATGTGTTAAAACAAGGCAAAACGATCTTAACATATATTTTTCATGCATGTGGTTATGGGAATGAGTTGTGATCTTCGACACATGGACCTCATGTATGATACTAGAATCTAAAAAAAAAACATGAAAAAAATAATTGATTTTGAAGACTATATTATATGTTTTCTTTGGCACTGGTACTTAAACGAGATTTGGTATGGCTTTTAAGTCATATAAGGGTTATGGTTGTTAGTGGTCACATTGTTAGAGAGAGAAAGGTATAGGATGCATTGGAGAAAAGGATATTAGTGAGGATCATCACTGGATCTATAGGGAGACTAAAAGTGTATCTAATATATGACTAAACAATGATTTTATTTAAGTTGTTATATTGAGAATGGAAGGAAAAAGGCTTACTCGCAGTGATTTATTTGATTTAGTGGTGATGATTATGAAAGAGAGGGATATAGTGTTGTTAGGCTTAACTTCCCGATGGCAGGGCTTGACTTCCTTGTTATAGAACTTACACTTTTTCATTTTAAGGCTTGAAAACTCATGGTTATAGAGCTAAACCTCATGATTATAAGGCTTGAAACTTCCTAATTGATGTTGTTGCAATGAGAATGGAAGGAAAAAGGCATGCTCGCGGCAATTTATGTGATCTAGTGGCTATGATTATGGAAGAAATGGATGTAATATGGCTAGGCTTCACTTCCCTATGATAGGGTTTGACCTCCTGATTGCAGAGCTTACTCTTCTTGATTGGAAGGCTTGAAAATTATTGATTGCAAGGCTGCTTCTTCCTAATAACAAGGTTGAACTAAAAATATCCTTTTTTTGGATCATATTCAAGAAACTGATGTGCAAATACTTTATAAAATATGAATCTCAAAAGTTAAAAGCTAAAATTGGCAAAAACTTTTTTCAACTTACATTACTTTTGAGAAAATAATATTTTATTTAGCACTTAGCTCGAGAAAATCTAAGGGGTATACATGTGGTAGTAACTTATTATGGTTTTATTTAAGAGCATACCTTTGGGAATCCAAAAGGAAACATAATTTGTTTATTTTAAGGTAATTAAGAACCTTAATTGATCTTTAGAGTTCTAGGTAAATGGTTAGTTATATAACAGGGAATGTGAGTATCACCATGTACACTCTATTTACAATAATATGTATTTTGCTTGTTCTTAATGATAAAAATACCTCTTGTGCTCTTACTGAACTTTTCTTAAACTTGTATTAATCCTAAGATAATAATTTAGAATTTGGGTTTAACAACAAGGCTCAAGCCTCACTTTTAAATTATAGACATCAAACCAAACAGGATGGTAATGATAAATTAGGATTTGAGCCTATTTTTACTTGATTATGCGTAAAAAAGGCCTTCAAACCTCTACTCACACTCAATAGACCTTAATCCGGTCATATTGGCCTAGTCTAAGTTTGCTAACAATAGTAGAGAGGAACGTATTACAAGATCTAAATATTCATGAAAAAAAACCAAATAATATTTATAATAAATTTTTTATACTTCTCTTTTTTTTTAATAAAATAGTGAAGTCTCAACTTTAAATGACATAACCCTTTTATTTTTATTTTTATTTTTCAAAAACCATGAAGTCTCAATTTCTTAAAGACAAAACCTTTTAAAGATTCTACCATCCTTAAGTCAATTGTTAGAGAAAAAAATTTATTTACATTGTTAAAAATGGAAAAGTCTCGACTTCTTGAGAAGAAAACCTTTTAAAGATTATACCATCCTCATATCAAATTCTTCGATAAAAAAAATAAAACTTTCATTTACATTTTTTAAAAAGGGAAAGGCTCAACTTCTTAATGATATAACCTTTTAAAGATTATGCCATCATTGAGTCAATTCCTCTATCAACAAAGTGCAAGAAAAAATTACAAACCCAAATAGTCACAATATTACAACATAAATCTCACCATAAACAACAAACACATCCATTTACAAAAATTAATGACATGTTCTGGTCACAATCAATCTTTAAAAGCCATCAAAATTGAGTTGAAAACATTAAAAACCAATATGGCATTTATGGCACGTGGTTTCACACATGGGCAAACAAGTCAGAATGTGAAGCATAGTTTCACGTGCTAGAAAATCTAGGAGGTATGTGGGTTAATGGATCATGAGCTCTTATTTTCCATTCTTCATACACACGTGGTGTAATCCACTATCATTTGTGATTAAAGATTTGGTTAAGAAAACTTTAGGTTTTTTTATTTCTCTCTTATTTTTCTCTCTTAATTTTCTCTTCTTTTTTTTTGGTAACGTTGTCACCATTGTTACTGTGTAGGGTGGTGATTTGATTATTGTGGTAATTAGTAGTAGTGTTAAGGCTTAGCTATGGTCGATCGGGTAAAAAAATATGAAAGAAACATGGTTATGAGTTTGATGGAAAGAAAAGGAGCAAATATGGTTGTTAAACATTACTTACTATCAAGGTCATGTTAGTGTTGTACAACAATTTCTTTGCTAGAGATAGAGTTATTAACATAGTGGTGGGGCTTAAAGAGAAAAAAGGGAAACCATGAAGGCTAAAACTTTATGTATAGTGAAAATAGTGTTTACTTTTTTAGGGAAATTTTTTTTCTTTTCTTTTCTTAGGACAAACATTATGTATAATATAAACTATATGAAAGTATTTGAATGATCAAGAGAGAATTTATCACTCTAGGTAAATTAGAGAAAATGTTCTATCTATTCTCAAATAGTATTGATTAAGAAATACTTGGTGAAGATTGAATGAGATTTGAAAAGAGTTTCAAAAGATGTACTAAACTAGCTAAGGATACAAGTAGAATTGATTAGCTTGCAATCAATAAAAATATGTATGTTTATTTTTAAAGAAATTAGGGTCTACTAAGTAAATTCTAATCAAAGGTAAGAGGAAAAATGATCAACATCTCTAAACAAATCTTAATTCAACTCGCATAATACTATATTGATTATTATCATCATTGAACTATAATCTTAATAACAAAAGATGTAGATGAATAAGGTACCTAGAGGGATCAAGTGTAAGGATTCAATGTATAAATAAAGAAAAAATAGCAAAATATGAACTATGGAATGACATTTAAGCTTACCATCTCCATTATTGTTAGCGTATAAGACCATAAATGTGTACTTTTTTTAGTATGATGGTAAGGATGGAGTAGATAATGACTCATAGGACTTCTAAAATGTCATCAGGGTCTTGGATACCATGTGGGAAGGTACTCACCAACACATACAAAGGAAATGTGCCTAAGTCACCAAACACAACTTCAATGCATTGTAATGCCAAGTGTAGAACACCTAATCAATGTTTCCCATGCATAATAAATTTCAACTTTTAATTAATTATTCAAGGTTGTATTAGTTTTTGTGTGTGTGTGTAGTTTAAGTTTGTTGAACATTAAAAAAACAAAGAAAAAAATTCACAAAAACATGAGAAATCTTTAAATCAGATTGAATTCAAACTCAAACACACAAGAGACCATAAGAGAAGTTTAGGAATCATGAACTCTTATATGTACTAATTTAGATAAAAACAATACGAGAAAGATAATAAACACATACAATACAAAATTTTATATAATAGGACATTGTACAAAAACTCTAATTAAGTACAAAAAAATAACATAGTGGGCGATGCATCTTGAGTCACCAATGCCTTTTTCGGTTACCTTTTTTTGAATTTCTAGGATTTCTATGATATGATTTATAGCTTCCTCCAATACCTATAATGGAAAAGGAGCATTTGAATAATCAACAGTAAAAAGCATTAATATATTGCATATTTTGAATCTAAAGATAAGATGTTTTATTCATGTCAGCAGTTTTTAATAACAACTAAAGATGTATAAATGTTTCATGTCTAGAAATTGAGTTAGTGACTAGGAAAGAGAAAAAAACATAAAATATTACATCTTTGATAAA